CTATGAGCGATGTTGTTTTTGATGAAATCCTCTGGAGGAGGAAAGTTGTCCATCACCATGATTTGTTGTGTGGTTCCTCCTTTTTCAGAATATTGGACTATGAAGTCATATCCATCCCCAAGAGGACCTACAGTTGGATCTCCGTCGAGATACCATTGATAGAAAGGATCCTTTTTTTACGCCGTCGTCTGCGGATCTCTTCGTCTGATTCGTAGTGTAGGTATGCCTCTGTACAAGCAGTACAGTTACAGACGTCGAAGTATTTATGTCCGTCTTCGTCCATGAAAGGATAGACTATTGATCCGTCTTGACCGAAAGAGATCGGTTTAGGAATTTGCTACGTAGGACGACCGTACAATTCTTGTTCGTCAATTTGTATGGCAAATTGAGTGAACAGTTGTCGCCTTGCTGATGATGATCGAGGTTTCTCGAATTTGATCTCGATTATTCCATCACTAAGGGAATGGAAACTGGCTTCCGATGATTGGATCGGTGTTTGGATAGCTTGATGTAGCTTTTCATAGTTTGTTACCCATGAATCTGGCAACCGTCGCAGAAGTTCTTTGCGAGATATCTGTCGAGGGATTTGTATGGCGTTAGGTGCTTGAGGTGCGGATGTGACCTCGAGATATAATGCTTCATCAGATGAAGGTTGGACAAGATCAAGAGCATGATCTTGGATCCGATAGACGATCTAGTGATGTAGTGTAGCCATGACACTTTTTTTCTTGCATAGAAACTCCAATTAATTGAAGCTGGACCTTGAGCGTCTTCAGAAGATTTGGATCTTGTAACGAAACGTTGAAGTTGGGAAACAGTGTTATGAATACTATTCCTGCGTTTAGTGTCCTTTGAACTGTTTCGATGCAAACTTGTTGGTATGACTTTAATCTTGAGTCGATTAAAGCTATACGGGCTATTACTAGTAGGCCTTTTCGGGCGTGTGAGGTCAAACCAATTCTCACTACTCCAAAGTGGAGGTGAGCATAACCCTGTTGCTGCCAGAGTCTCGGTAAATGCTCCGCGATGTTTAGTGAGATGAATTGTTCTTCCTTGGTGGCTGGGACTTGACAAGATGAGAACTTGCTGGATTGAACATACTCCAAAATCTGTCGGTTCGAAGATGGCTTGACAAGTTCACGAATACCTTTGACTGAAAAAGCACTAGGCTTTTTTGCAAAGTATTCATATGGATTCACCAATAGAAGAGTTGTTTCGGGCAATTGATTTCCCGGAACATATTCGATTTCATAAAGGGAATTAATATG